TTAGCACTGCCTGTTTTTATAAACATAAATTGCAAACATTTTAGTGATGCGATAATTTTTGTGGGGTGTATATTATACAAGGTGTCCCAAAATTCCGTGTACATAGATCTACTGTAAGTTGGTGAGATCAAAATAAGTCGATTGAGCCAAAATTACCTATATCACAAAGTCCATCGTTTGCCTGTGAGGAAGCTTCAAAGTTGGAAGGAAATTTTAAATTTTTTTTAATAACACAAAAAGGCTTCGTTAGATTTTTATAAAATTTGGTGTGTAGCTATTTTAATTAAAGAGCCATTGTTTAAAGTAAACAATACACCAACTGAAATTATGAAAGGGTAAAAACCACCCTAATCCTACCATAAATGACATCGTATTTTTTTTCAGGGCCGCCCCTGTTCCCTAAATTTTTTTGTGGAGAGCTGTTTTCATTTGTAGCATTTTTTCTTTCTTGCAAAAAACATGTATCTTTCATGGTATTTGAGTAAAAAAAAATTTATGGACTGATGGTTAGTCACTTAAAATTTTCAAGAAAACTAAGTTGGCGGTTACTACTGCAACCCGAACACGATTTTAACGTTATTACAATAAAACAATCATTAATAGGCATAGGTATCTATTGAAAAATAACAATTCGAAAAGAAGGATACATTTTTTTTACAATAAATGTTCAATATGGCCAACTCCTTCGTTTATGCAGATTTCAATTCGGCGCAAGAAATTGAAGTGTACCCTTCTCAAAATGCCTAGATCATTTCGCATAGAGTTTACAGCAGTTTGAATCCTACCCCATAATTGTTCAATGTTGTCGATAGAAACTTCATAAACTTTGGTTTTCAAGTGGCCCCAGATAAAATAATCAGAAGGGATTACAGTCCGGTGATCGAGGTGGCCACTGAATAGGAGCATCCCGACCTCTGCCAATCCATCTTCCATGGTATTGTTTGTTTAAATAATCTCTCACAATGCGGGAAAAATGAGGTGGTGCACCATCGTGCATAAAAAACATGTCACGGCGTAAATTGAGCGGTAAATCTTCTAACAGTTGAGGCAAATGTTGACGTAGAAAATGCAAGTAACTGTCACCGTTAAGACGATCTGCTAATCTAAATGGACCAATCAAATAGGTGTCAATAATACCCACCCACACATTAATTCTAAACTCTCGTTGAAAGTATTTATCTTTAATGGCATGTGGATTTTCATAAACATGTTCGTTATGTGAATTTGTTATACCACGTCGTGTAAAGCATGACTCGTCTATAAACAAAATTTTTCTGTGAAAAACTGGATCGGCCACTCTGTGCTCTTGAATAACTTGTACAAAATGCAAACGAGACTCATAATCAGGAGGTAGGAGTTCCTGGACACTTTGAATGTGAAAGGGATACATAGGTTCCCAAGTAACAATTTGATATTTTATAAAAGCTGAAAAAATGTTTACAGAACAAAATTTATAAAATAGAATATTAGCTAAGAACATTTCCGGAACATTCTTTCAACAGTAATAAACACAAAATGGGCGCAGTATTACAGAACTATTTGGTTCTTTTGTAAATTCTATAAGATTTGTTGAATGCAGTTACCGAACAGTTACTACACATTTACACAGACTTTAAACAAATGTTTTTTTAAACTTTTATAACTGTTTTATAAATTTTCAATTTTGAGGTTAGGTTGCATATCAAAATCAGTAACATTTTAGTTTTTTAAATGTATCTGGTAAAAACAAATTAATTCTATATTTGTCATAAAAGTAAATTCAAGGCGATATTAGTAAAATGGCAGTATCTACTTAAGAGATATCTATAACGCGGTTTAGACATAATGTATGACCTACAATAAAGTCGTTTTTGGATGCGCAGCAAGAATTACTGTTAATTATATAGCACATACAATACTAAATTTTTAAGCGCCTCGAGTTTGATTCATATTTCTAATACTTTTTCAGTGTGAAACAAAAATTAAATTTATGCAATTTGATTTTTTTTTTAGTAATAAGATTATGCTAATATTACTAATGATTAAAATCTTTAATTTAGATTGGTTTTGTCTTAAATACTAATAAAACCGACAGTAGATTTAGCTTTAAAACTGTCTTAGGTTTTTGTTAAATATGGCGGCTATTCAGAGGTATTAGAAAGTTATTTTAAGACTGAATCATAATTATAAAATATTATTGTAGTAAAAACGGCTGTAATACAATAATTAAGTTGTATTACTCATTTCTACAAAACAAGTTCATCATGGTTTGTTGTATAATAGTTTCATATTGCTGCACTATATGACAAAATATAACATAACCTTACTAAATCGTTTCCGATTTAAGTAATTGAGAATTGAAATGATTAGATTTGTTTCTACAGCTTTATAGAGCAAGCATAATTTTTAATATTACGAGAATAAGCAAGTTTAACATGGACATCGCCAAAAATATGGCTTTCTTTTAGTATTGGGGCATGATTATTCAGAACATACCTAATTATTATCTAGCTGAATGATAGTTTTTTTTTTTTGAGTGTCTAGACAAACCATCAAAATGTTTTACTAATATTTTTTACTGTTCTCTGAAAAGCAGGTACCACTTATTTTTTATATTTCTTCACTATTTAAATTTGACATTTTTAGACTATACACTCACATACAATTGGTATGGGAAGTAGTTGAACAAACATAAAATACAAAAATAATATGGCGTAGGTACTACCAAATGTAGTTGCTTTATTTTTTTATAAATATTTTTAAAGGAATAATACTATTCTTAACTAAAATAACTGTTATACAGTTTTCTGATTTGTAATACTGTATTTCGACAATATATTACAGTTATTTTAGAGTTTTCATCAGAAGCAAATTGCTATTGATGCGGAATTATCTCACACTAATATTTATATAACTATTTTTTAAAGCGTTATTATGAGGTTAAGAAACAGTTATATTTGTATGACCAAAAAGTTCTAAAGGTAATCCAGAACAATAATATAGAATAACTATAAAGCAATTTTATTTTATAAGCTGAAATATTGTATAGAACAGTTGTATAAATGTTTATGTAACAATTTCGTAGTTATCGTGAAAACTATTTTATAATTTTGCTGTAAGAATATTGTAAAAACTAATTTATATAACTATTTAGTTTCAGAGAACAAAATAGTGATTTCTGCAACTGTAGTACAATAAATTAGCATTCCAGAAACAGCAATATAATATCAATAAAATATAATAGTCTTGTAAACTAAAAATTATAAAGCTACTTTGTTAGTTGGGTTGTTCTCTAATTATTCTGTTGGATGTGCTTTTTGAAATCCTAGTTTGGCGTGCCAGTCGTCGGGTACTAATTCCGCGATTATTTTCAACTATTTCAAGTATTCCCTCCTCTGCAGCAGGAGTTCTAACATGACGAGGTATTCCAGCATTATTTCTGTTCGGTTTCAGTTGACCAATTTCTCGAAGTCGCCTCTCGATAGAAGTAAAAGTCTGGTGATTCGGAATCTGTCGATTTGGAAATCTTTCATGGTATACCCGAACACTATCACGGCAGTTGCCATTATAGAAACCAAGCATTAGCAACATATCAGTTTGTTCATTGAATGTACTCCATACCAACCACAAAATGTTTGAAATAACTCCTTCACAAAAACTTCAAATTGAAACAGAAAAAATACAATACATACATAAAATGAGTAGTATCGACAATTTTTACAGTTCTACAACATACATATCTGTCAAAATTATCAAATTGTTTATTGTAACCCTCAGTCCATAAATTTTTTTTTACTCAAATACCATGAGAGATACATGTTTTTTGCAAGAAAGAAAAAATGCCTCAAATAAATAAAGCTCTCTACAAAAAAAATTAGGAAACAGGGGTGGCCCTGAAAAAAAAATATGATGTCATTTATGGTAGGATTAGAGTGGTTTTTACCCTTCCATAATTTCAGTTGGTGTAATTTTTGCTTTGAACAATGGCTCTTCAATTAAAACAGCTACACACCAAATTTTATAAAAATCGAACAAAGCGTTTTTGTGTTATTAAAAAAAATTGAAAATTTTCTTCCAACTTTGAAGCTTCCTCACAGACAAACGATGAACTTTATGATATAGGTAATTTTGGCTCAATCGACTTATTTTGATCTCACCAACATACAGTAGATCTATGTAAACGGAATTTTGGGACACCCTGTATATTTGCGTAGCTATTTTAATTGCAGTAGGTGTTTTCAAAATGTATAAGAAGAGATTTAATTGAACTTCCCAAAACGAAGAACCCCAGGAAAAGATACCACGAGGATTTCTCACTAAGGATGGAGGAGTTATATTCCCAGAAATACATTGTACATATGAGAAATGCCGTTCTGCTTATTTTGCTTGATTTACCTTAACAATAGAATGCGAGTGCAAGTCTGCGAATTTGCATTTTTACTTCATTATTTTTACTTTATTATAATTCAGTTCATATTTGGCTTTGTAGAATAATTATTTATTTTTCAAAAATAAAGTTTTTAAAAAGACTTCGTGATTCTAGAATCATTTAACTTGCGCGAGTTTGACTCGCACTTGGCCGGTTTTTTTTCTATGACTATATTTGCAGGTCTTGTTGATGTTATGACTTCATTGGTGTATTCGAGTATTCTTAAATGATTTAAAGTTATCTTTTTTAGAAATTTTTACTCTACATTTGAACCTATTGATTCTCTTTTTTTTTTTAAATATTTCCATTATTTGTTAGTTTGGAACAAAATTTAATAAATAAGAATTGGAAAGTACAAACAAAAATTGACCTTTTATGTTGATTGGCAAGTTTAAAAGTAATATAAAACAAAATAATTGATTAATAATAAATAAATTGTATTTATTGACTTACAAGAGCTTTCCTGTAAAATGTTATTAGTTGGTTATTATTGCAAAAAAATATGTATGCCTAATTTTTTGATAGTTTCCATGTAGTTGCAATTTTGCAAGATTAAAGTCACTTGTTTCTTAATTTTAATAATTTTACTCACCATTTTTTATAATTCTTCAAATTTTCATTTTCAGTCTTGCCCATATCAATTAATTAAGAAACAATAATAAATTTCACCTAGAAGTTTTGCGAATTCAAGTACTGAATGATTACGAAACTAGGTAGGCAGGTACCTTCGTAACTCTCATTTTAATTCGTTGATGATTGTTTTTGTTTAATTGACACTTTATATGAAAACTGTCTGAATTATTATGCAACCAATACCTTATTGGTTTGTTATTGTAATGGTTCCGGTAATATAAATAAATAATAATATCAGACTTAAAGAGTACCCTAGATGTTCTCATGACTATACAGAGCGGCCAGAAATGAAGCGCAAAAATATGAGAAAACTAAAATTTTGTCATAACATATAAAAGTTATGGCTAATTTATTTAAAATTTTAAATATTTATGTAAATACTATTATTTTTTTTTTTCACAATCGATTAAAACTAGCTAAATTTTTTAAGTATTAAACTGATAATTGTTATACAGTGAAACCTGAGTAAGCCGGAACCTGTGTAACACGGAATCCTGTGTATAACGGAAATTTTGGCGATTACCTACATATTGTAATGTAAAAATTGCTTATAAGCCGGAACCCTGTCTAACGCGAACACGGAATTTCCCTAATCTGTTAAGCCGGAACCTACTTATGTTATTGCTTTGCAGGTATAAAAGAATTTATAGATGTTTACATAATTAGTTTATGATTTCGGAAAGCCCCATAATAAGGGCGAACTATTATCAATACTTAGAACCATTATCACAGAAATTTAGTTACAAAAGCAGTAAATACACAAATAAACCAGTATTGTGTAGGTACGGCAGTTTGAGTTTATCCGTGAAAGTGCAAACATTTCAAAATGGCAAACCGAAAAACGAATACATTATCGCTAAAATCTAAAATGGACTTAATTAAATGTAGTGACCAAAAAAAACTTACTCCAAAGCAATTGGTTATTCAATTTAAGTGCGGAAAAACGCAAGTGTATGAAATTTTGAAAAACAAGGAAAAAATTAAAGAAGAGTGGATGCGTGGTGGTAATGGCGATATTAAGAGAAAGCCAAAGGAATCACATCACGACGACGTAAATTCAACAGTTTTGGAATGGTTTATGGATGCATGGTCTCGCAATCTTCCTGTATCTGGAACAATTATTCAAGAAAAAGCAAGAGAAATTGCAAACCATTTTGGAAAAGTAGATTTTAAAGCTTCGAATGGATGGCTGGAAAGTTTTCGAACACGACATAACATAAGATTTAATCAGATCTGCGGTGAAGCTAAGGACGTCGACATGGAATCTGTGACTGAATGGACATCGCACATTACAGATTTAATTAAAGGATATACCCTAAAAGACATTGCTAATTGTGACGAAACTGGCCTTTTTTATAGAGCGCTGCCGGACAAGACAATGTGCTTTAAAGGTGAAAAATGTCAAGGAGGCAAACAATCTAAAGAAAGGTTAACCGTTTTGTTTTGCGCCTTTGCTGACGGAAAAATAGAAAAACCTCTAGTTATTGGAAAATCCCTCAGACCGCGATGTTTTAACAATACCAATGTGCCTCAGCTACCAGTTTATTGGCGAGCAAATAAAAAAGCATGGATGACATCAGTTCTTATGGAACAGTGGCTAAAAATTTTAAATCAAAAAATGAAATTTGAAAATCGACACATCCTTCTATTTTTGGATAATGCAACGTGTCACCCCAAAATAATACTATCCAATATAAAATTGTGTTTTCTACCACCAAACACCACAAGTCAAACACAGCCTCTCGATCATGGAGTTATACAAAACTTCAAAATACATTACAGAAAACAAGTGCTGCGGTCAATTATTGCGAATATGAGATTCTCTCAATCAGCAGGAGATTCGGCTAAAAAATATCAATTTTGGATGCTATCAGATGGATTGATTATTCAGTAAAAAATATTAAACCTGATTGTGTTAAAAAATGTTTTGCGGCATGTGGAATCAAGCAAGATGGAGACGTTGACCTAATCGAAAATGTTGACGAAATTGACGAAAGTACAAAAGAAGTCGAAGAGTTAATTACTGAAATTAATCCCGGTTGTAATGTTCATGATTAGATCACATTAGATGAAGCCGTTACAACAAATGCTGGATTTCAGTCCATAGAAGTACTGGTGTTAGAAAAAACTGCCGTGGAAACTACTGTGGCAGACGATAATGATGGGATTGGAATTGGTAAGCGATTTTTCTAATTCTCTAAAAAAATAAACAACTTTTTATTTATTCTTTCCATCTTAATTGGGCCAAGTAGAAATAAAGTTAAAATACATAATAAAAATAAGATAGGAAGATTTCAGTTACCATCACAAAAATAACAGATAGAAAAAATTATTTTCCCATTAGCTTTTCAAAACGATCTGTTCTTAAATTATTCATTATTCATTCATGGAATCATCTTACGTATTACAAAAGAATAAAAAACAACTTACATTGATAGAAATGTGGAATAAATAATAATTTATATTGTTTCTAATAATAAATAAAAATATGTAGGTACATAGTAATAATAACAACTATATATTAAATGTACGTATATTAGATTTTTTTTAATAAAATCATCACTTTTTTAAATCTACTATGTGCAATTTTTTATCTACCCTGTGTAACGCGGAATCCTGTATATGCCGGAAAATCGGTGCACGACCGTGCGATTCCGTTTTACACAGTTTTCACTGTACATTTTAAAATATCATTTTTGTAATTCTGCTTAAGAGTATTTACTTGGCTTTAGAGCAAAGCATGCAAGGGTTTCGTAGTACCCCACTTTTAAAGTTTATTTTTGACTTATTCTGAAACAAAAAATGGGTGCGTGTAGGTAAAGGTTAAATCTATGCTCCTATGAAGACACTTTTTCAAAATTTAAAATGGTTTTTTCAAAAAAAAAAAAAATATAAAACTCGACTTTTTTTATCAATTTTCTCATTTTTTTTTAGAAAAAACTAAATTCAATTTTTAAAAATTGGTTCCGGAGAAGCATAGATTTATCCTTAACCTATACCTATATATTTTTTTCTTTTAAAAATAGTCAAACATAAACTTTAAAAGAGGGGTAATACGAAACCTTACGTTGCAAGATTTTTCATCTGGAGAGTGGCGCCTGTGTTAGATTCTTAAGAAATTCATATTTTTGAATGAAAACAATTATTTATAATATGTATATTTTACTGATGTTTTACGAGGGATAATAATTAAATTGTACGTATTTGTATATATTGTATTACGTAAATCATTTCTGTAATACTAAGATCGACATATTATATAATATGCAAGGGTTTCATAGTACACCAAATTTACGAAATATTTCTTACTTTTACTACAATAAAAATTATGTAAGCATAGGTAAAGGCTCAACACGTACCCGTCTGGAGTCACTTTTTGAAAATTTGAATTGGTTTCTTTTGAAAATAATCTAATAAGATATCTTTCAAACGAAAAGAAACAAATAAAAATACCAGAAGGGAACAATATATTTAATTTTTACCTACAGGAGCATTTATTTTTCTTAGAATAAAAAAAATACGTTAAAAGCTTTTTCGGCTAGAGAGTGACACCAATAAAATGTATATCCTTTTCTACTATTTACAAGTGATAAACAGTACGCAAGTGATTTGAATTTATTTTGTTTTATGTATGTACACTTTGTTATTTTTTACTTACAGTAATTTCGCTCAATTATTTTAAATTAATTTTATAATTTATTTATTAGAAAAATATATTCGAAATTAAAAAGTATACAGTGAGATGTGAATTATAAATTTTATATTGCACGGGAGTTTCTTTTTAATGAATAACAACTTCGAGTTAAAAGGGTATAATAGCACCTCAGTTCAAATTTAAACATCGATAAATCGAAAATGCTGTAATGAAATGGGCTGAAATTTTAAAATCACATATTATAGGAAGTTGTCGAAGGCCTCAATTTTTTTTTTTCTGAAAAGTGCTTTTTGTTTCTGAGGTAAAAATTCGGTGACCTCATAAAATTGGAATTTTAGCAAAAGGATATGTCATGTCCTAGATAATGTCACAATAAATACGCTATAAAAATTTTATTTCTTAATATCAAACGGTAATTAAAAAACACTTGTTCAAAATTTTGTATTTATATGCCTCTGGGTACTGCTGCTTCCTTGCGGATATTGTCGGTAACTTCACTCGGTACACTCGGAAGAAGGATACACCTTCATCCGATTATTGAAATGCAGGCGATTGCGAAATGCAGGCGCAAATTAGTATTGTTTTAGATTTTGAGGTGTTTCGTGTTTTGTATAGTAGGTAGTTTTTTTATAGTTAGTTATATTTTATTAGTGGTGTCGCGATGGGCAACAAAAGAAATAATCGACGTAAAAGTTGTTCTATAAAAGGTAGATGGTAAGTAAAATATTTAAATTATTGAGGTAAAAAAATAATGGTAAATTATTTGTACATTTTAGTAAGGTCGAGTCTCGATGGAATAAAAGTCGTGAAAATATAGAAAATGTTCCTGGAAGTTCCCAACAAACCGAGGATGCAAACATTGAAATTGTGTGGGAAAATATTTCTATTAAAAAAAAAATTGAAATTCAGGGGCGGAGAATTGTGGACGTTGCCTATTTTTGGGAACAAATTAAAAGTCAGTAATGGTTTCTTAAAATAAATACCTATAAACTTTGAATTTTAAGTATAAATACTAAATATAAAGATATAAAAATATTTTAATGTTTTAAAAGTAAACAAATTATTCATTATTTTTCAGATCAATTTTTCCACTAGACGATCTTACGACACGCGCTGTCAGTTGACGGCTATTTCATATAATTCTAAATTTCAATACTTAGAAGAAATAGCAAAAAGTATGAATTATCGTATTTGAATTCATATGAGTTGTTTTACTATACGACGAAAATTGAAAAGCGTTTCTCAAAAAAGCTTTTCGAAAAAAAATAAAAGGTGCCAAAGTTGACAAACACTATGGATAAATCATGGAAAATCTTACGGGGGAAGAAGTTTTACATCGAAAACAAAAACTGGTAGATTTATTGCTAAAATCTAAAACCGAAATTCAAGAAATAGAAATTAACACTAGAGGCCAGAGTTCAAATACACTGTGGAAGCAGGAGATAGAGAGCTTTCCGAATTACTGCTTCCAATTTTGGGCGTGTTTGTAAAATAAAAGAATCAACAAATTCCGAAAAATTAGTTAAAAAC